CCAGCAGTTCGTGGTAAATTTAATAGATATTATTTTATAAATTGAAGTAAAGGAGAAATTTAGCGTTACCCATCTATTTATGTTTAATTTTGCTACTAAACCTTCCTTTAGTGTGGTAGCTTATTGAAATATGTAGTTATTGTTGTTTTTTGAGTTGCTTAAAACGGCCCGCAAGCAATTCGGCAGTGGTGGTTGCTCTCGCATTAAGTTTACTCTTCCCCCGCTCGTCTTTGCAGTATATCAGTTGGCTCTTCGTTTCGCTGACGAGAATCGAGATGATGTTAGTATTATTATCAGATATTTAAATAGAAAGCAAAATTTTTACAAATTCTACAAATATTTTGGAGTTTTTTGAAGGAAAAGTTTGACGAGAAACTATACAAAATGTTTGTCTTCTGCATGCATACTATTACTGCTCTAGTTACGTCAGCAAAGCTTGCTGAACTTCCGATTAGGCTCTACTTGCAGGTACCTTTAACTCTATTTTTTTAGCCACAGCTTCGCAAGTAGTGCTAAATTTTCTGTTGTCTTACGGAATTTGGTTTATATAGTCAGCTTCTTTCCAGTTTTACCAAGCACACTGGTTTTATTTTTTTCAGCACCAGCTTTATATTTTTGCTTTCAAAGGTGCGTATTTTTGAGTAAAAATGTAGAATTTGGTTTTTTATGTTCTAGAAGAGGGTATATGTATTGAATGTAACGAAGGGGAGCCTAAATGATCTATTAACTATTATTTAGATGTTGAAACAGATCTTGTTTTAGGGGGCTTTGGTTGCAGGGGGTATCAACTTTGCAGGTAGAGGGGATATAGCGTATGAATACGTTTCAAAGGTTGGCGACTTTTTATTTGTTCTCATTTTCTTTATTTGGGTAGAAATACACTCTATGAGTCGCTTGGAAGTAATTTATTGTGAATCAATTCACAACTGTTTGATTTTTTAGGCATTTTCATTGTACGAAGAAGAATTGTCAGACAGTCGCGCACAGTTTGCGGCAATTTCCTTGTTAATAGGTTTTTTTAGTATCAGTACAAAGTTCTTTATGTTTGCTGCTTCTGTAAATTTTACAAATTTGTCTTCTGCTCATTCCCGTTTTTATTTAGGTACTATGGAGAAACTGCACTGTTTTACTGAAGAAAATCATGAGCCTTTAAGAATGCAATGTGCGCACGCTTCCGCTAAGCTTTTTAAGAAGCCCGATCAATGTCGTGCCGTTTGTTCTGTTGTAAGTCTTTTGTAATTTCACACCGATTTTTGGTGCGAAGGCTCTTTGCAGTCTGTAACACATGATCCTTTTTTACAAGTGTTTATTTTCATTTAGGCTCATTTGTTTTGGAGCGGCCAATCAATAGAGTCGAAGGGGCCCATGAAAGACGGCACTCAGGTGGCCTTTTTGTTCTTCATCTTCTTCCCGTTTCAATGTGGAACTTTATTTTTTTTTAAAAAAACATTTTAGACTATCTTGTGATTTATTGAGGGTATCAGATATGAGTTACTATATATTATTGGGGCGAGACTTTTTAGTCTTATTTTATTTGTTTTATTCAGAAAATTTGTTAAACTAAACCTTTATAACTTAATCTCTGCAATGTCTTTAAAGAAAATTTTAGGTTGTCAGTTGCCTTAAAAAGGCGTTAAAGGTTGCGCTACAGTGTTTGGATCAAGTTGTGCAAGTTCAGTTGTATATTCACGTCTTGAACCACTGTCTCTATTTCTTTGAAGATAATTGCGAAAAGGTAATTGATAAGTAAATAATAATTTCAGTACATTTTTTTCTTTTCTTTTTTTCTAATCTTGTTGTTTTATTCACTTATGAATTTACTACCTTTTGCTATTATGCCTTTATATAGGTTTCTGTCAGCCTGCTGAATCAAATAATTGGCAAAATACGAGATGCAATAATGAAGCTCGAACCTTCTTCAGATAACGAGCAAGTAACGACTTACTTTGATGTAAGTAATCTTAGTAAAATTAATTATACTAGAAGAGTAATTGTCATTGCGAACGCGGCGATATTGGAGCTTACTTGCGAAAAAAAGTGGCTGCCTTCTTGTTGCATGCTACTTTATTTCGAGTTTCATTTCAAGTGTCTGCTTCTCGAAATTTACCTATATTTGTGTAAAAGTTGGTGGGAAGCTATGTGTAGCTTTGATGGAAGAACGCTAGGGAGGTACTTTTTCTGCTACACAAGGTACCTTCCAGATGCAGAGGAAGAAAGCTAGATTTTGTTTTTTGGAAATGACAGGTCATTTTTGGAAGCTTCATTAGTTTCTTGCTATACGAAGTTTAAGAGTTGGGGGCTTTTAAGAACTGGTACTTTTTTGACGTTTGTTCGCTGTCTGTGAAGTAATTTTTAATTACAGATGTTTAGCAAAGACTTCTTTGTTTATTAGTACCAAATAAGCTTGTCCAAAAAAAATTTCTTGGTCATTTTAAAAATGAAAGCTTTTTAAATACTGATTGACTGAAGTGTTGAAATTCTAGGTTGACTAGTCAAAAATTAGAAATGAGATTGCAAAGTTTAGTTTAATCAGTGAATTCTTAAAATCTGAGTGTAAGCAGCATTTTTTATTGAAACATTTTTGTAGCGAGCCAGAAAAAAATGTGCTTACGCAGTGTACATGATCTAACTTTGGAACAAGTGCAGCGTGTGAACCAGTGGTGTTTTATGACCAGGACTTTTAAAAGAGAAAATATTTATACTTCCTAAAAATTTTTAATTTTTATGGATATAATAAGGTTTAGTTTTCAGCCGGGGAAGGGTCTTACTTTCTATTGTTACGTTTTCTCATTGTTCTGTTTTCCTAGGGAAGTTTCCTCTGTACTGCAGACGAGAGCTGCTATTTGCTTAACTTTGGGAAAAGTACTTGTGAAGTATGCTTTTTTCAGCTTACCTTAAGTCACATACGCACTGTTATGGAGGATCCGAAAAGCGATGTCAGCTATGAAGGAATTGTCTTGTAACTGAAGGGTTCTGATTACGGTTTCTTTTGTTCACTCTGTGTTATAATTATC